GGCCTATGAACCAGGAGGTCACGGTTTGATTCCTGGTCAGGGCAAATGCCCAGCTTGCAGGGTAGGGCATGCAGGAGGCAGCTGATCGATAATTCTCTCTCGTCACTGATAATTCTCTCTCTCCCTCCATGTTCCTCTCTGAAATGAATATACACATATATACATATATATATATATATGAAATATTTTATGGCTATTTGTGATCTATAAATCAATAGGACATAAAGCAAATTTCTCAAAAACTTGAGGCTTCTATGTGATTGTTTATGAAAAGGTGATGTTGCTCTACACCAGCGGTTCTCAACCTGTGGGTCGCGACCCCTTTGGGGTCGAACGACCCTTTCACAGGGGTCGCCTAAGATCATCAGAAAACACATATATAATTACATATTGTTTTTGTGATTAATCACTCTGCTTTATTTATGTTCAATTTGTAACAATGAAAATACATCCTGCATATAAGATATTTACATGGCGATTCATAACAGTAGCACAATTACAGTTATGAAGTAGCAATGAAAATAATTTTATGGTTGGGGGTCACCACAACATGAGGAACTGTATTAAAGGGTCGTGGCATTAGGAAGGTTGAGAACCACTGCTCTACACCATAACCTCCATTTAAAATTTGTTAAGATCTGGTTTCATCCCCGGGCTGCAGCGCCCAACTACCTACCTTTGCCTTCCGCTGTTTTAAGCTGAACTTGGAGGCTCACCCTAGAACTACAGGTTATTTCATAATTGCCACTGGACTGTGGGTGTTCCAAGGTGGTTCTACGGAAAGATTATGGTCCAGTTCGTACGGTGCTGGTGATGAAATACCCCCCTTATAAGGCTGCCTGCTAATGACCTTCCTAAGTTGGAAGGCATAGCCCTGAGAATGCAATAAACTAAGCATGGATTGGGAATGCCCTTTCTACTTAAACAAGAACTATAAACTTAAGTCAGAACACATCTACTACCTAAATTACTATCTAAATATTTTACAGGTCAGTGTCAGAATCAACTTCTTAAAAGTGAGTGCAGGATTTTATCCTCTGCTTGGATATTTTAAGATCGCAGATGCTAAAATTAGTTTCTGCTAATTTTGAGTCAGAGTCTCAGCCTTTATCTCCCCTCTGGGGGCCTCACACAACGGTGTTCAGGCCAGACTCACAGCAGAGCACTCTCCTCAGTGGAGCACTCCAGTGCATTTGACCGTTTCTCGTCTCCATCTGTACAGATGAGCCTGGATCCTGCTCACCCCTGTGACTGTAATTACAGTTCATGGTCAGCTCAGTGTCCATTGGTAATGACATAATGGGCCATAATCATCCCCTCGCAAATGGAAACCCCAGTAGGAACAGTATCTTTCTCCCTCCACAAATACACAAAGAGTTAAAATTAAACCTTTCTTTCTATATACACTGTGCGTTTGTATGGGAATGAATGAACTGCTACAAAGGAACTGGCAAACGTATGAGGCCCTTGGATCTTCGCCTCTGATTGCTGAAGGTTAAACAGATGGAAATTAATATATTGGACAAGTTATTACTGCGAGAGCACAGCGGCTCAAAGATCTCGGTGGCTTCACCCAGGAAGGTTTGTTTGTGGCTGACATTTCACAGGCACTGTGGGTCAGTGGTGTGAGTTTCCATGTGTGGCGATCCGAGCTGGGTCAGATTGCCTCGCTGGCCTCTGAAGGTGCTGGGGCAAAGGGAGAGAGAGAGGAAGTCGCCGAGCCTGCAGGTGACCCGGGTCACTTCTGCTCATGTCACCGTGGACGCTCCTCTACCTGCGTGGGAGTCCCGGAAGGCAGGGGAGTGTGTGGCCCACTTAGCCAGGCTCACTGCTGTGATGGGAAGCCTCCTCTTGAAGAGGTCTGATCCCGCAGGTGGGCTGCGCGTGGACATCAGAGAAGAATGAGTTCCAGGGGCTTGGCCCTGAAAACTCAGTCCTCCTCCATTTGGATTCTGGGTAGGAAATGGTCTCAGAGATGCTTTGTCAGTCACCACATTTCTGTCCCTCATTCTTTTCTTCTGGTGACCTCAGAGTTTGACCTTCTGCATCTGGAAGAAGGACGTTTCCCAGGTGGGGAGACAGCTCTCCTCCCTCAGGTCAGCATCACCAGGAGGGACATCCATGCCCCTCCCCGGCCCCTGCAAAACTGGGAAGTCCCCCAACGGAGCAGCGGGAAATGAGAAGTGAGCAGGAGAGATAGGAGGGTCAAAAGTAGTTATCATTACCTATTGCTTTGTAACAGAACCATCCCCAAACTCAGCAGCTTGATTTACTGACCATAACTTATGTTCTCACACTGAGGTGGGCAGCATCGGCTCCTCCCGCCTGGTGTCAGCCTGGTGCTCAGGCTGTGGGGGGTACTGGTGGCCTTGCTCACACACCTGTTAGTTGGAGGTAGATCCAGGCTCCTCCTCCACAGGTGGGCCAGGCTCCCCCACAGGTGGGCCAGGCTCCTCCCCCACAGGTGGGCCAGGCTCCTCCCCCACAGATGGGCCAGGCTCCTCCACAGGTGGGCCAGGCTCCTCCTCTACAGGTGTCCAGGCTCCTCCCCCACAGGTGGGCCAGGCACCTCCCACACAGGTGGCCAGGCTCCTCCACAGGTGGCCAGGCTCCCCCACAGTTGGTCTAGGCTGCCAAGGGGATGGAATCAGAAGGCACAAAGTCCCCAGAGGCCTACGCTCAAGAGTTACCCAGCATCTCCACCACCATGTTTTTTATGGGTGAATGATATTTACTGGGAGTTACAGCATCACAGCAGAGCAGGAGCAGGTGCATAATTTGCAGGGCACCGTGCAACATAGAAATGTGGGCAGACCACTCAAAAGCAAGCTTTTCAGATGACACAGCAGACCATTCACCCAGCACGGGGTGCCTGGGAAGGGTCTGGGTGAGAGTCCAGCCCATTGTTACTAAAATAAGCAGACAGGGGTGGGTTGATCAATTAATTGTCCCTTCTCAGACACAACTTGATGAGGAAGGTGGTGAGAGTCTCTGCAATACTTTCCACTGCTTGTCCGAAGGAGAATGCAGCTGAAAGTATGAAATCACGGCCTTCCATTCCCCGACCGAGACCGTGTGGCTGAGGACTAATTGAGTCCTTCCCACGAGGAGTCATTTCCTGCTGAGGCAACAGGCCTGTGCAGAGTGGATGTGCGTCTGCATGATCATCGAGACCTGCCACGTGAAGCGCTGCCTTCCTCCTGAGAGAGCTGCCGCGGAAATGGTCAAGTGAGGACGACATTTCCTTCCACCTTCCGTGCTGGGTGGTACTACTGCCCCTGGAATTAATTGGCGCTCGGGGTGCTGCCGGGGTGGGGGGGGGGGAAAGGGGGGAATAGAGAGCAGTTAAAAGGACATGTGCCCCTCACATTTCCAGGGAGATGATGACCCTGACCAGACTCTGAAAGCCAAGTCCAGCAGCTTCGACGCCAGGGCTGCTGGCGGCATGGGGTGCACATTACACAGTTCTTCCTGGTTGCTGTGCATCCCAACACACCCCAAACACCCCCAAATGTGTCCCCAGGCGCCTGCATGTCAGGGGACTGTGCTGTTCGCTGAGTCACGGAGGGGCCATTCCCCATCGCCGTGCATCACTCTCAATGCCCCGAACCCCATTCTCCAGGGCCTCCCATGACAAAATCAAAGACGAATTAGAACCGAAAAAACAGAGGTTTTATTCCGGGGACACTAATCACACTTGGATACATGGACAAACATGTGATATATTTACATTAGGACAGCTCTCTGACAAGACAGCCACTCAAGCTGAGTTACAGGGTGCCAGCATTCGTGATGGGAAGGGCAACGCTCATGTTAACATGTGGTGCTGACTCTGAGAGGCAAGACCCAGGAAGGGGAGCGCAGTCCTCCCACGCTCCAGGGAACCTCTGACGCAGGAAAAGGACAGTCAGAATCTTTTTTACTAAAAGGCAGTTTTAGTGCCTAATGGTATTTAACGAGGTTACTCTACAATAAAAGCACTTATGAGGACATTACAAATGTTTTCAGAGATTTCAGTAAAACAGATGCATTTAAAGGTCTCTAGCCACATAGGGAACATATTTTAACAAACTTGCTGCAGCCTTATTTCTATTTTTGAAACTCCAAACAAATGATTTTTAACGCCATCGCCGGGACGTTGGAATTTTATGCAATAATGGTTTATTTCCCAGGGGTCTCTGGAAGTCAGCAAGAGAAGTATGACAGGAAATGGCATGCAAGCACAGTTGAAGCAGAAGATAAACACGGGATTCACCCTGTAGAGGACACTGTTTCAGGAATGTCCTCTTGGATCCAACGCGCCCTGGCAACCCAGTGTGCTGAGCCCTTGCCTTGGGTAAGGAGAGTTAGAAACACCCTACTAACCAGGGGCCTATCCCAGGGGTACATTTTTTAAGGTCGCTAAGTTTGCTAAGTGGCGCCCCACAGTTTAAGGAGCTTTTGATCTTCCACATTTTAAGGCCTTGGGCTGCCCTGCTCCCTGAGGTGTGGCCAGGAAAGGACCTCTTTGTCAAGCAGACAGGAAGTCCGTTTCCCTCGGTCCAGGTAGCACCAGAACCAGGTGCTGGCGATTCCTGAACCGGGAGGAGGCTGGAGGGATGTGTCTGAAAGCGCTGGAGAGAGACCTTCAGAGACTGCCCTTGAGGAGGGGGAGGCCTTAAAATAGCCCAACAGGTGTGCGATGTCCTCACCCTCAGGGTGTGGGGCAGCGATAGCTTCCAGTCCCAGCCTTCTCTGGGCCAGGCCCACGGAAGGGGAGGCGGCCAGGGAGCTCTCTGCCAGGAGAGGGACGTCCTCTTTCTCTGTGAACTGATCATGTAATGACAGTGCATGTGCCACACAGTGGTTCCCCAGTGAATCTTCTTTATTTCAAAACAGGTATTAGCTGCTCTTTTTTTTTTTGAAAATATATTTTTATTGATTTTTAGTGAGAGAGGAAGGGAGAGGGAGAGAGAGATAGAAACATCAATGATGAGAGAGGAAGTCACTGATGGGCTGCCCCCTGCACACCCCTGCTGGCGATCAAGCCTGAAACCCAGGCATGAGCCCTGACTGGGAATCGAACCAGCAACTACTTGGTTCCTGGGTCGATGCTAAACCACTGAGTGACACCAGCTGGGCTCCCTGCTGTTTTCTAAGCCACACTCATAGTTTGTCTGAATATAAAAAAATACAGAGCATCATTGCAGACCAAAATAGAAAGGTGAATGCATTACTTGAAGACTATAGACCTTTTAAAATACGCCATATAAAGAATAATTTTGCTTAGAGTTCACAGATTTCCTTTTCACTCTAAAAAACATAAAATGGAGAACTCTTTTCTTTTCCTAAACCAACAAAAGGGTCCCTGGGAATAATAATATATAGATATTCAAAATATACTGTGTCCAAAAACAATAGCAATGCCTACCTACAACAACAGTACCCACTCGTACACTTACAGGTAAAATCCATTCTTCCCTGCTTCCCTGGGTGTTGCCCTACCTGCTTCTACCCCATTGTTAGCACATTTTAATATGAAATATGCACTGTGCGGATGACGTGGAGCTTCGCATTGTCTGAGCACGGAGACGGATTTTACTGTCTATCGGTACTGGAGGAAGTTCTGCAGCAGCGTGGGCAGCTGGAGCTGCGGGATGAGGTGCAAACGCGGCCGTCCGATGCGGCGTCTGATGCAGAGGCGGCACAGCTGGCAGAGGGAGCTGGGCGTGGCTGCAAGAGACAAGCAGGGTTTGTCCATGAAAGCAAAACACGGATTTTCTTATGTTGCAAGATGCATGAAATCAAACCAGAAAAATCTCCAGTGCTTTGTAGCAAACTGGCAGGATGACCCCTGTACTGGGGAAATCATATGAGCATTTACACTGCCTTCATAAGACTGTATTAGAATCGAGGTATATCCCATCTACGCCCTTTAAGACATTGAAGTCTTTGGGCTAGAAACAGCTCAGCGGGGTGGCTCGGTGATTGAGCATCAACCTATGAACCAGGAGGTCATTGTTTGACTCCAGGTCAGGGCACATACCAGGGTTGGGGGCTCGATCCCCAGTAGAGAGTGTGCAGGAGGCAGCCGATGCATGATTCTCTCTCATCACTGATGTTTCTATCTCTCTCTCCCTCTCCCTTCCTCTCTGCAATCAATAAAAATACATTTTTAAAAAATAAAACCTCAGAAACAAATTCTGCGTTTTGAAGGAGATACAGATCAAAGGAGGACATGCACTATAGGAGGAAATTCTTTTTTTAGAAAATTTTGTTTTATTGCTTAAAGTATTACAAAGAGTATTACCTATGTCTCCTTCCACACACCCCCCCCCTTGACAATCCCCTGGCCTCCCCTACCCCCCAGTGTCTTGTGTCCATTGGTTATGCTTATATGCATGCATACAATTCCTTCGGTTGATCTCTTACCTCCCCCCCTCCCATCCCCCCAACCCTCCCCGGCATTCCCGCTGTAGTTTGACAGTCTGTTCGATGCTGCTCTGCCTCTCTATCTATTTTTGTTCATCAGTTTATAATGGTCTTTATTATCCATAAATGAGTGAGATCATGTGGTATTTTTTTCATTGACTGGCTCATTTCATTTAGCATAATGCTCTCCAGTTCCATCCATGCCGTTGCAAATGGAGGAAATTTTTAATTGTTCTTCTCAAATTTGATTTACTTTTTAAGCCAAAGCCAATTGAATTACTGTGTCAGAGAGATTCCATTTTGGAACTAAAGTCTTAAGTGTGGAAATATGTCCTGATCATGTTTCTACCCACGTTGCAGAAGTCGCCCGCCCCTATAACATGAGGCGAGCCTCTAAGTGTTTATTCACAGATAGGATGCAAAACTGCATATTAGGTAGGGCCAAAACCGAATCTATGTAACTTAAACAAAGGAGTATAAAGTTTAGGTCAGATGGAAAAAAGAAAATTAAGATCATTGTGATTGTCTTTTTCACAGATAGAACCTGTTAAAAAGTATTCACTTCCACAAAATGCTCCAAATCGCACGCCATGATTGCTTTGCCCGCCCTCGGAGGCCTCTGGTTTCACCTGTTCCCTGCTCCCGGCAGACGAATGCCGTGGTTGGGATGCTCGCATGCTCCCCTACCTTCGTGCTGAAGCAGCATTCTCTCCACCAGGCTGCTGGAGGAGGCCACGTCCACCGGCCGCAGCAGCTCTGTGTTCTTGGCGTTGATATCCGCCCCAAATTCCAGCAGCAGGTGGACAATCTCCGTGTTGGACTGCTGGGCAGCAGCGTGGAGCGGCGTGTCCCAGTATTTGCCTTTCTGCACGTCAGCGCCTATGGGGAAATATGGGACCGTGATGGGTACAGACAGCAATTGTTCTAAGAGTCCCCTCAGCGCAGGAAGGAAGGTGTGGCAGAAAGGACCTCAGCTCCCTTGGCACTGAGTTCTTCACGCATACGTATCATGTACATGTACACACATACACACACATATATGAACATACACACACATACATACACATACCATAGACACATACATACACATACCACATGCTAACCTGACCAGCTCAGGGAAGGCCTGCATGGCGGTCTTGCAAACTCAAAGACCTAAAGTAACCACTAAGGATGGTCTGAATTTACACTTTAACTACAAGCAGTTCTGGTGGGTAGTCATGTCCTAGGCTGGTATCTTCCCTGACAATCTTTACCTTAACTGAGCCTCTGTCTTTTTGCATCTAAAACAGCTGTTCTCAACCTGTGGGTCGCGACCACTTTGGCGGTCGAACGACCCTTTCACAGGGGTCGCCTAAGACCATCCTGCATACCAGATATTTACATTATGATTCATAACAGTAGCAACATTACAGCTATGAAGTAGCAATGAAAATAATTTTATGGTTGGGGGTCAAACATGAGGAAATGTATTTAAAGGGCCAGAAGGTTGAGAACCACTGATCTAAGATAACATGCCTATGAAATGTCTGGGTAGCATGTAACTTCCCTTTTTCCAGACCCCTTAGGGCACAGCCTAATGTACCTGGACAGCAGGACAGAGACCACAGATTCCTTCTTGTTACTGTTATCCTGTTAGTTGTTGACTGTTAACTGTCCTGCACCCACCTAAGTATGTGTCCATCATTTCACTTTCTATCCAATCGCAGAGGATTCCCCGCGGTGCTTTCTCCCGCCTCCCTAACCCATCACCAATGGATTTCCTGTAACCCACCTACGTCCCCTCCTTTGATTGCAACGTATAAAAATAGATGAAAAAGCCGCCATTCTCCGGAGCATTATCGCAATCCGTTGAGATTCTGCTTCCGGGCAACAGTTTGGCTCAAATAAACTCACAAAATTCTTTACAGGTTTGAATGTTTTTATGTTAACATTACACATCAACAAACAAACATACATATGTACATATACATATACATACACATATACATAATCTTAAAACTTGGTACATCTGGATGAAAAATGCACATATTTTTTATATTGTTTACTATTCTTCTATATGGTTAAAATATCACCTAACAAAAAGAACTTTTAATTTTAAACAGTTCCAACATTCATCATATCAGCTACCCTATGTATTATAAACAGTGCACAATCAGTTTGACATGTATCTATCTGCATCGTGATTGATAGCTCTCAGGAGTATTCAAGAGCTTATTGCTTTTCTTCTTTTCATTTATTTTAAGGCAACAGAATTCTTTTGTTTCTTCGAAAACTCGTGATTCCAGAGACACGCGCTCTTTAGGTAAAGTGTAAATAGATGTTCCTGTCACTTCTCACTCGTGCAGTTGAAGGAGATAACGACACACAGGCACTGAGCCTGTTCAATGAAAAGGCACATTCTATTTCTGCATGCAATTTTTTTTCAAATGCTTACATTTAAAAATAACTTCCGTGTTAAATCACCTACTGCATTGCCTTTTATCTTAGTGGCAGCCGCTGAATGCATGACTGATGGCAAAATGCTATTTAATGTGGAAATGAGAAGAATCCCATTTTCCAGCACATACATGGTTACAACACAGAGAAATGTATCGATGAAAATGCATTAGTCCTTTCAACTCGACTTCCTGGTCCTGCCTGTCAAACTCTTGTTTGTAAGAAGCAGTGCACTCTAAGTAGGGGGTGGCCCTCCTGCTACGCTCAAGTTGCAATCAATGTAATTGTTTTCAACATTTTAACCTAATGGAAATGCTTAGTGGGAAACTGCATAACAAAATCTCCATCAAGGGAGCGTACACTCTGCTGGGTGTGTCCGTTAGGAGAGAACAGAGCCTGAGAGTGGTGCTCCATCCTAATTACTACCCGCACTTCTCAGTATTCTTCTCCGTATTCTTCTCCTCATAAAATATCCAATGGAAAGAACACATTCCTAGCAAAGTAAAGAAAGGTAATGAAGAACACACTCTCCTTGTTATGTAAACTTACGGGAGACACAGCCAGGAAATATCAATCTGCCAACAATTATTAGCAGAACTTGCGTTTAAGAGTCTTATTAGTAAAGGGAGCGGAATAGATGGAGACTGCTTGCTAGAAATGTGTAATTTAGCGAAGATACTGTGAGAAACAGTAAGGGGTCACCAAAGATCTGTCAGGATGTATCAGAGGCCAAACGATTGCCATCCTATATAATAAAAGGCTTATATGCAAATTGACCAAACTGAAGAATGACCGGTCGCTATGATGTACACTGATCACCAGGGGGCACACGCTCAATGCAGGAGCTGCCCCCCGATGGTCAGTGCACTCCCACAGGGGAGCGCTGCTCAACCAGAAGCCCTGAGCCGGGCTCACAGCTGGAGAGCTCAGCGGCAGTGGCAGAGCCTCTCCTGCCTCCATGGCAGTGCTAAGGATGTCTGACTGCTGGCTTTGGCCAGCTCTCCCCTCTCAGGCTGCGAGAGGGAGAAGACCGGGCTAAGGGATCCCCCACCCCCCGCCCCAAGTGCACGAATCTTGTGCACCAGGCCTCTAGGGAACAAAAAAAGACATAGAAACTTATTTACTCATTTTGAGTATATTTAAGCACCTGCCATGAGAAGCACTGTACTAGAGGGAAGAGAGGATGGAAAAAGAGAGAAACCATAACTTAACCAAGCTCCCAGCCCTGGTCCCAAGGTCAGGAGAAGTTTCTGAGGGGCTGTACTGAACCTCGAGGACCTGGTTTGCTTCAAGTAAGTGGACAGCACATCTCCTCACGTAAGTAGACAGAGGTAAGTGAGACGATGAGGTCTAGGACCATGCGGGAGTTAGGGTTGGTGAGGGGTAAGGCGATGAAGCAGTTAACTATCCCTAGAATTTTTTTGATCATTTTCTTCCCAGATATATTCATATTTAGCAACATTACATTCAAACTTGAAGATCTGAATGTTATGACCTTTGACCTTTGTAAGTAGAGGATTTGGAGCTTTGAGGTGAAGTGGAGTTATCAGGAATGAGGTCTTGCATGGAACAGAGTGAGGAATCTCGGAGGGAAGGCGGGTGGGATGGTGGGAGGTGATCAACCAAAGACCTTGTACGCATATGTGCATACACCATGGACATAGACAGTAGGGTGGTGAGGGCCTGGGGTGGGAGGGCAGGGTTGGAGTTGGAGGGGGTCAATGAGGGAAAAAAGGGGACATATGTAATACTTTCAACAGTAAAGATTAAAAAAAGAATGAGGTTCTTGTTTATAGGCTATAGACTGATGTGTGAGAAGCTTAGAATAAGAACATTTTTTAAATGAGATATAATTTTTAAAGTAGTTCATGTAGAGAAACAAGTGGAGCCCTGGCCGAGTAGCTCATCAGTTGCTTAGAGCTTCACCCCAATATGTCAAGGTTGAGGGCTCCATCCCTGATGAGGGCACATACAAGATTCAACCAATGAATGCATAAATTGGCGGAACAACAAATCTCTCTTCTCTCTCAAATCAATCAATACCTTTTTTTTAAAGAAAAAGAAATAAGAGCTGTATAATTACTTGTGGGTCTGGATGGAATGGAAGATGTTTTAAAGGTCATTACCAGCGTAAAGAAGCTTCCGGATGCAGTGGAATTGCTGTGACATACAAGCTACATACAGCGGAGTTCCCAAGTGAGGAATGTCTTGGTCAACATCTATGCCCCAGGATATCAGGATCTGTAGACATTCATGGTGACCTGCAGACACAAAGTAGAGACCTGTTTTCCTTGAGGCCCATCCTCCCACGCACCTGTGCCCACGGCTCCAGCCTGTTATTCACGGAAAGGTCATTGCAACCGCGCAGGTGGCTGCAGGGACCGCTGCCCTTGTCACTCCCCCGGAGCTGACCTTTGCTGGCGGCCTCGTGTGTGGGGGAAGGCAGGCAGGACTCCAGCTGTGGCTTGGCTCCATACTCCAGCAGAAGTTCCGCACAGCACGGGCTGCCCTGGGAGCAGGCGTTGAATAACGGCGTCACGCCATCTATTGTGATTGCATTGACCTAAACCGAACCAAAATCTCAGAGTGAGATTCGGAGGATCACACGTGATTGACTCTCAGGCATGTTTAAAGGTGTGGTGATCTGCTCACAAAAATAACTAGGAACGTGTGTGGTAAATATGACAAAGGATATTTAGCTCAGACACATGGATAAGGAAAGTTTTACAACTTCAAGAGATACATAAAAAGAGGATATGGTAGATAATTCATAGAAATGAACCTACAATAAAAATGATGAAAAAATACATACTCAAGGGTCAAATGCACAAAAATGAATTTAATGGTTAGGTACATTTCAACAGGTAAAAAAATCAACAAGTGTAAGAGTGATTGATGAAAATGAAGCCAAAGCCACTTTGCCGGGAGCAGTTTAAATTGAAAATAAAATTTCTGAGGATTTATCTAAAGAAAATCATCCAACTCAGCAGGCGTGGCTCAGTGGTTGAGAGTCAACCTGTGAACCAGGTGGTCAGGGTTTGATTCCCAGTCAGGGCACATGCCCAGGTTGCAGGCTCAATCCCCAGTGTGGGGTATGCAGGAGACAGCCAATCAATGATTTTCTGTCATCATTGATGTTTCTATCCCTCTCTCCCTCTCCCCTCGTCTCTGAAATCAATAATATATATATATATATATATATATATATATATATATATATATATATATATATATTTTTTTTTTTTTTTTAAAGAAAATCATCCAAAAGATGGGCAAACATTATGGGCACGAAGAAGTTCATCTATTCCTATTGGGAACCACGAAAGCAGGGAACAGCCTACAGAGTACTCCATAGGATGCGGCATGCTACCCCGCTTTTGCAATGATTGGGTTTCCTTCTTCGAGTGCAAATGAGAGAAGGCTGGGCAGCTGGAGAGCTTTATTTGTATTCTGTTTCCTTTGAAAACCACCAACAAGGAAAGGGAGGCAGAGTGAGAACTTTTCTTGATTTGAGTACCTGGTAGATGTGAGCACTGAACAGGGACTTACATTGGCTCCAGCTTCCAGAAGAGTCCGGGCACAGGCCACGTGATCGCCGAGGCAGGCTTCGTGCAATGGCGTGACATGGTCTATGGTGACCGCGTTTACGTTATAACCCTAAATGTGACGTGAATAATGTTGGAAGGTGAGAAAAAGTTCTGTAAAGTCATCTCTACAGTTGTCACTAAAGAGGGATACAAAAGGTCAAGGAATGTCACCTGCGCCCTGTAATTGTGACCCCACCCCACCCAGACCCAGTGCTGCTTTAAGTCTTGTGCTCAATAGATTCTGAAAGTATTATTGACATTCGGCTACATAACGTTTTTCTTTCTCGTTAGGGCTTGCTTGGGTTGCTATTGGTTTTTTGGGTTTTTTTTTTTTTGGTAGAACTGGAGACTGGGTATAGGCTGGATCCCTTGCTTTGTGAAGTTTTGTCAGGAAGTAGGTCTGAGCAGGTTCTGTGCTGGTGGTGAGTGGCCTTGACTACAGAGTCAGGCTTGGCTTGGAATCCTTGACACATAGGCAGTGATGGCTTTCATTCAGATGAGTCCATTAGCCTCTAAATTAATGGAGATTAAATGAGCTGGCGCAGGGAGAGCAATTACTGTTACAGTGCCCTGCACAGAGGAAAGGTTTGATTTGATTATTCAATCACAACGGAACACGCCTAAAACTGCCATTCTAATTAAACTAAAGATATCAGACCAACGTAATTAGGTTTGACCAGGATCTGCGATCCTTTGCCTTCTTGCTGTGGGTGGTGATTCGTTGTCTGTTGACCATCACACTAAGCACCATCCTGAGGAGACTTTTCTGGGCCAGATCCCCGTAACGGACTGCAGATCCCCACGGTCTGAAATGCCAGAGGGACGTGAGGAATCTTAAATCGGAGGCAAGAAAATAATCATCCTCAATCTTCGTGACTGGCAAGTGGCAATTTTTAAGGTCCCTTAGGTCAGTGGTTATCAACCTTACTAATGCCACGACCCTTTAATACAGTTCCTCATGTTGTGGTGACCCCCAATTTCATTGTTACAAATTGAACATAATTAAAGCATAGTGATTAATTACAAAAACAGTATGTAATCATATATGTGTTTTCCGATGGTTTTAGGTGACCCCTGTGAAAGGGTCGTTCGACTCCCAAAGGGGTCGCGACCCACAGGTTGAGAACCATTGCCTTAGATGATCCTTTCCAAGATTTCCAGGTGGCTGGCCAGCGGTCAGACTTGGAGAAGGGATTGCCCACTGCCACACACCAGGGACCGGACGATGGAAGCCTCGGGAAGGGGAGATGCCCTATCACTCAGGACTGGCGCAGCCTCTGGCTCTGCCTGGCTGGGCTGTCGGTGCGTATGACATGCGTGTTATGAAATCCCTCAGGCTGCTCCCCTCTCTGAGAACTGCGCGACCCTTCAGGGGTCCCCTTTAAGCATGCATGACCTTTTTGCAGGTTGTTTTCATGACGTGATGAGCAAACAAAAGAGTCACATGGTTATCAGAGAAGTGGGCGGGCCCAAGGGGGCTTCTCGCCCTAACTCTTCCCTTCACAGACGAGAGACAGTGGGGGCCAGAGACATTGGGGTTCACCTTCAGTGCCAGCCTTGCATCCAGGTCCCCAGCCCCAGGTGCCCTCACCCTGGGCGACAGACACTGCTCTCCTCCCTCGTGGCCCTGGGAGAAAGCGCCTCTCCTCGATCCTGGGAGACACGGGGCAGTGGCTGCCTGGCCGGGGTGTCTGTTGGAGTCGTGTTGGCAAATAGTTTTTCTCTTTTTGCTGCACGCCGCCGGCAACTTTTAAAAACCCACAGGCCGAGCCAGCCAGAGAGCCTGCTGTTTCAGCAAAGCCCCTGTGGTTTCCATCTTCCCTCTGGTGAGGGATGGGCAGGCAGGTGGGAATGACCGGTCCCTCGCTCTCACAGACAGTTCCCCACAATGCATCACAAGCTACCATGAAGAGTCTACTAGGCCCGTGGTCGGCAAACTGCGGCTCGGCAAACTGCGGCTCGCGAGCCACATGCGGCTCTTCGGCCCCTTGAGTGTGGCTCTTCCACAAAATACCACGTGCGGGTGCGCACGTACAGTGCGATTGAAACTTCATGGCCCATGCGCAGAAGTCAGTATTTTGTGGAAGAGCCACACTCAAGGGGCCGAAGAGCCGCATGTGGCTCGCGAGCCGCAGTTTGCCAAGCTGCAGTTTGCCGACCACTGGTCTAGGTGGCTGGTCTGATGAGCCTCTCTTGGATATTTTAGGCTGAACTGAAAAAGCTGCACACATTGTAGAGTGAAGGATACTTAACGCGCTTAATAAATAACACGCGATTCCAATGATTTCCTACATACGTGTGTCTATCAATCAACAAATACACTGCGCAGGAAATCGGAAATGCTAAGACTTAAGATCAGATAAAGAGGTTTCCAATAGACGAGAAACCACAGACTTGACCGCTTGGTGAGTTCAACTAAAAAGGCTAATGAAATTTCCGAAGTGGTGTTAGCGTTTTCGAGCTGATGACTTGGGGGATTCATGTTTTCTGTGCATGGCCCGGGCCGGCGTTAAGCATATGGGACAGTTCACCTGTGACAGGAGTGTCTGCAGAGCCAGGAGGCGGCCTTGACTCGCCGCTTCGTGTAGGGGGGAGCGGTCTGCCCAGGAACCTGCGGAAGAGAAGGAACACAAGGTCTGATTCCAGGTGAGCCCTCTTAGGACCCACCCCGGAGAAACAGGGACCCCAGATCCAGGGCTCCTGTGGGGACCGGGACACGTATCCCTCCATCAGGAAATTGAATGCTCTACAGCAGCGGTTCTCAACCTGTGGGTCGCGACCCCTTTGGGGGTCGAACGACCCTTTCACAGGGGTCGCCTAAGACCATTGGAAAACACATATATAATTACATATTGTTTTTGTGATTAATCACTATGCTTTAATTATGTTCAATTTGTAACAATGAAAATACATCCTGCGTATCAGATATTTACATGACGGTTCATAACAGTAGCCACATTACAGTTATGAAGTAGCAACAAAAATAATTTTATGGTTGGGGGTGACCACAACATGAGGAGCTGTTTAAAGGGTCGCGGCATTAGGAAGGTTGAGAACCACTGCTCTACAGGATCCTGACTGGCTGACCCCAAATCCCTCACCTTTGGAATTCTCTCCTTCAAAGACTAGGGGGATTCAGGTCACGAGATTTGCCACCAAAACCAAAAAATAAAAAACCACCTCTGTCTCATGGTTGTCCAGACAGAACCCCCAAATGCTGTTTTTGGCACTTTGAGCTGAGAATCGACTGGACAAGCCACCTCTCCAAGCCCTCCCCACCCCCACCCTGCTGTTCCCCTGCCCAGAGGTGTGAGGGGCTGCAACAAATGAAAATCATGTTATTTACCCAACAAATGACTTTAAAGTCAACTCTAGTGCAATTTAAATGGTCACTTGGCTGCTCATCAGACACGCATCTCAGGCAAAGCACGTCTGAAGCCTGTGCCAGCAGATGGGTCAGGAAAACCACTGGAAGCTTGGGAGGGCCTTGTCCGTTAGACGCCTCCACATCGTCCCTGCATGTCGTGCCTCCGGAAAAGTCCACGGATGCCAGTGCTTCTGTGTTATGGTTCTGCAGTAGACCTGCCCACACCCTAAGTGAGGTCCAAAGAGCTCCACTGAGTAAGATGCCACTGAATACCACAAGGTGACGGAGTGGCCCAGCGAACCTGCTCTAGACACACAAGTCAACTGCCAATCACCAGGCTTTTTCATAACCGGTGATCCTTGGGGTTTTATTACAAACACTGCTCCTAATGGGGAGGGAAGAGCCTTTCTTCTACGCACTGGCATTGATTTGTGACTAATGGTAATGACAGCTAACGTTGAATAGTGTTCCCCACGCGAATGTGCTCGTCGAAGCACTGCGTACGGCCTCTCATTTAGGTCTCACCGCTCTGTCAGGTGGATGCAATGATTGTTTCTAACTGAAAGGTGCGGAGCTGGGAGCTAGAAGGAAGGAAATCACTTAGAGGGAGTCACATGGTCTTCCTCCGAAGCTGATCTAGTTAGACCTGCCCTCGCTGTCTTGGTTTTCCTTTCCATCCAGCATTATTTCCTGCTCATCCAAGATTACTAAGCCAGACATCCGATTCCTTGAGTTTTCAACGGAAAGCAAGTCACTGTTATTAGCTTTTGTGTATTATTTCTTTCCACATGCAACACTCCTGTTATACATTAGAAGCAGGGTTGAAATAAATATTGCACACCCATCCCATAACTATCCATTGATAGGACAAACGTTGGTGGTGAGATAATAACTTATAAGAAATTGGAGCATTGTATTCTCACTACCTGCATTGCAAAAGTCTCCATTGGAAATAATATCATTTTCGGGGACATGTTTCGAGTTCTAGGTTTTAAATTGAAATCTGAATCTTTGCAAATCATACATATCCTTAAACAACTTGATTGAGGAGTGAAACTCTGGAGGACTTTGGAACATATACCCATTCTCACTGTGAACATTTAAATATGAAAATGATAGCCCAGCCAGTGTGGCTCAGTGATTGAGCGTCAATCCATGAACCAAGAGGTCATGGTTCAACTCCCCATCAGGGCACACACCCATGTTGCAAGCTGGATCCCCAGTAGGGGACGTGCAGGAGGCAGCCAAACAATGATTCCCTCATTGATGTTTCTCTCTCTTCCTCTCCCTTCCTGTCTGAAATCAATAAAAACATATGTTTTTTAAAAAAATTATAATATTCACTTTCCAGGGAGATTGCATATGTGTGAAGCCACAATGTTCAGTTTATTCAGCAGAGCAGCAGTCAATTAATAAGGTGTTGAGTATTCAACATTTAAATGATAAGCTATAATATTTATAAGAATCATGTGTGCCCTTCTGCTTAGGGGCTTAGTGGGGTTTATTACCCTTAACTTATCTCTAAAAGCTGTGCTGAATTAAATGAGGCCCATTGGCTAGCACTAAGCGTTCTTCCCTCACCATTAGCTACCACGGCAATTAACCAGATGCCGGGGTGGGAAAGCCGAGAAATGGCCTTTTGGGATTCATTCTGGACTCACGTTGTCCAGGTAGATTATGAGACCTTCAAGGGGCAGCAAAGTTAACAATATGTGCAGCTATGAGGAACCTGATATTCCTCTTTTGCACACTATTGTGTTTGTCCATCAAAATGATTTGGTCGCCCTCTGACCCATCTGAACATTGCTTGCTGGTGTTCACCAGAGAAAACAGAAAAAAGAAAAAGAAGGAGATGGGTCAATTAGAAAATAGGCTACATAAGGACCAAATAGAGAATAAAGTATCTGAGTTCCCCACCTATATCCCAACCCCCAGGCCTCCCTCCCAGGACTGTCCCATACCTTGCTGTCCCACTCTATTTTTTTTTTAAGTCCATTACAGTAGAGAGAAAAAATGCTGATGCCAGATCTTACTTATGTGTATTTGCTATCATTTCTATTAATATGACCTCCATTTGGCATGAAAAGGGAGTTAAATGTCACAGTAATCTGCTGGAAGTGTAGGCAGGTGGTCAGGGACAAAACCACCAAAAACACAGCATGTAGGACGAGAGACCCGTTGGCCCACCAGGCAGGGACCACGCTTAGAAGAAATAACTGCCAAGTTAGTATTTTCCAGCTGAGCCCAGCTCTGCTCACTGCCTGGGACCCCTGCTGCCTGTTATTATTGCTTCCAGCAGGGGGCAAGCAAGAGCAGGAGGAGGACAGATGGAAATGGAGACCCCGAGGAAGTGAGAAACCAGGTGGGGTGGAGAGCCCAGAAGCTCCCAGAGGAAAAGGTGGCCTCCACGCAGCCATCTGATGTGAGGGCCAGTGTCCTCATCAAATGGGAAAGCATCGCCTGTGGGGCAGGATATGGAGGTCAGGAGTGAGCCTCTAGGGCAGGGGTCCTCAAACTTTTTAAACAGGGGCCAGTTCACTGTCCCTCAGACCGCTGGAGGGCCGGACTAAAGTTTAGAAAAAAACTGTGAACAAATTCCTATGCACACTGCACATGTCTTATTTTGAAGTAAAAAAAAAACAAAATGGGAACAAATACAATATTTGTACTTGCATGTGGCCCGCGGCCGTAGTTTGAGGACCCTGCTCTGGGGCCTGCTCTACAAATGCACAGTAAATAACACTGAGCTTCCTGCTCCACAAGACCAACAGACGGGAGATTCCAATGTGAACTTCAGGGAGCGATCCTTCTTCTCCAAAACTAAGGAAACTCATGCCATAAATAACAGCATCTACTTTTAAAATATATTTCTATTGATTTCAGAGAGGAAGGGAGAGGGAGAGAGAGATAGAAACATCAACGATGAGAGAGAATCATTGATTGGCTGTCTCCTGCATGTCCCCCATCTCCCCTACTGGGGACCAAGCATGCAACCCAGGCATGTGCCCTTGACTGAATCGAACCTGGGCCCCTTCAGTCCACAGGCCAATGCTCAATCCATTGAGCCAAACCAGCTAGGGCAATAACAGCATCTATTGACTGAAATGATTTTCAGTGTTATCAACGTAATTAAATACACTATATGAAGCAACAGCATGACTTATGAAGGTATTTAAGCTAGCAATCAACAATGGCTGCTGCATTTTCTCTCTGGTAAGCTGTAAGAAATAAGCTGTACCAATCTATTAAAGTAGTTTACAGCATACACATGCTGTTCAATGAAAAACAAAACACATTTCTTGTTTAAATTCTGCTGACCTAACTCCCCAACAACCCCACCTCATTTGTTTCCTTGTAAGTCCTTAGAAGAATTTCTGCAATTAATCTGGACAGAGGTGAGAATCAAAGGGACTATATCATGTTCCAGTTTCTGTTTTAAACTCGGTCTTCCCCCCTCCCCACTTCTCCCCTCCAGAGCCTGAAATTCAGCACTTTTCTAGTCAAATGATCTCAATACTATCTCACCGTCCAATACGAATATGCTTCCTACTAGAGAGGTTTGCAAGCTTTCCTAAGACCCAACAAAATAAAATATCTTCACACACAACCCTTCAATCACCTTACAGCCTTGTTGGACTTGAATTCGGAATCTGAGATTTTTTTTTAAAAAAATGTCCAATTTAACTCTTTGGGATAATTCAGTGTGAAATTATTCAGTGTGAAAATCATTTTTACAGAATAGCTGTAAGTTTCAGCACTCTAATCAAATGCCTGCTGGCACAGCCTCCCTGTCGCTACACAGGAGGTGACTCAGAATATATTTAGAAACGACACGAGTTCCCAGACATCTGGTATTTAATTTGCAGGGAGCGAGGCTGCCCTGATGGGTAAACATCACAACACCGTCCTGAGACACATACAGTCTGTGAGGGGTTGCACCCACCTAAGTCGCCGTCTCCCCAGGGCACCTCAAGCCAGCCACTCTCGAGGTAAATCCGGCTCATCGCTCCTTTCTTATCAGCATAAAAAAATAAGTGCCTTGTCAGGTGCTGGTTCTATTCGGCCATTTTAAGGAACTCTAAGCTCCTTGTAACATGACCTTCCTTCTCCAAAAAGCAAAACAGCTTTGAGAAGTGTGACTTACTTTCAAAATGGCCTCCCAATTACCACTCCTCTTTGAGAAACTGCTGGTCCTAACCTTACTGATTCTCCTGAGAGGGTGCACCCTGCAAGAAATACAGGTC